CACTATTTGCTCGTTGTGTCTAGGAGCCACCACCAGTGCACTCTGCTGAAAAACAAAAAAACCAGGACACCTCTTAAATTCTCTCCTTCTTTACTGGAAAGAGCTCTTGTGATTTTAGTTGACATCTGCTCATTTTAGCTTGTACTTATTGAGCATTCCTAATAGATGCCTGCCTAACATTTAACCAGGTGGAAGGATGTCTAGCTAACAGCCGCCTCCATTGGCTTCTCCTGTGACGTCCCACACAGCCACACAGCAGGGCCCAAAGGAAGTCCCACGTTCACTCCAGTGTTCTCTCCTATTTTTTATTCCAGCTGTGAAAGTTCAAGATGAGCTGGAGAAGACTCAGCACATGAGAATTCTATTGGCTCAGAATAAAAGCTGTATTGTTTATTAGCGTTGGGCAAACAACTGTTATACTTAGATCTTTTAGCATTGCTTTCTTTCTTTCTGTTTTTTTATGATGACAGTTCTTCACAATTGCCAAACTAAGGCAAAAGGAAACTTTCTCAATTTTTACGATGCTTTCATCAGATAACCAATTTGAAATATTTTCCAAAATACTGTGTCTCCTCAGACTTTAGAGTTTGTTCTTGGGAAGTCAGAGATAAACGAAGATGGCCTTAATAAATCTCTCTAACATTGTAAATACACAGTTCTTGGTTCTTTTTCCTCTTGGGGCAGAAGGCCAGACATCACCAACAATGCAGATATCCTGGCCTTTGTCAAAGATTTCATTGCATCCAAAAAAAGTACAATTTAGCAAATTGTTGGAGACAAAATGCTTTTTTGGTAGTTCTGCCATAATTGAAGATCAGCAGCCTTCTGCAGACACCAGTGTCATGCCTTTGATGAGGCCCTGAATTGGGCCTCATCAAAAAAATCCCTTGTTGGGGGAGATGTTTGCTTTCTAAAAGATTGAAATTCCAGGGAGAATATTTAAAACTGATTTTGGCAGCCATTAATGAACCCACCCGGACCGGTTATGTTTGGGACCGGAGTGTTTTGAGATGCTTTAGTTTATTGTTGAGTATTTGGTGGGAAGGAGATGAGGGCACGTGCTTTCTTTCCTTGAGCTGCTATTAGACCCCATATTAGTTTCTAAGGTTACTATAACACAGTGTCGCAGATCAGCGGCTTAAGCAATAGATCTTTATCCTTTCACAGTTCTGGAGGCAAGAAGCCTGACATCAAGGTGTCGGCGGGGTTGTTTTCCTGTGAAGCCTCTCTCCTTGGCTTGGCGATTGCCGTCTTCTCTCTGTGTCTTCACATCACCTTTCCTCTAGGGGTTTTCATATCCACATTCTCCATCTGTGCCAGGTGAACTTCATGTCAACTTGACTGGATTAGAGACATCTAGAGGTGATTGGATCACAGAGGTTTATACTGATCAGTGGGATAATCCACTAATGTCCATAGCTAAATATGCAGTTGGAGAGTGCAGCCCAGGTGGAGGTGAGTCACTAGGGCTGTGCCTTTGGAGGTATATCTGTTCTGGTGTTCTTCCCCTGTGCCCTGCTCTCCAGTGACATGAAAGAGTAGCTTTGTTCTGCCATGCCCCTTCCACCATGATGTCCCTGCCTATCCTGTCAGCCAGACATGGGCTAAACCACTGAAACCGTGAGCCAAAATAAACCTCTCCTCCTTGAAGTTGCAGGTGTTGGGTATTATGTCCCAGCAATGGTAAAGCCCGCCGGTACATCGTCTTAGGAGGATACCAGTTGTACTGGATAAAGCCCACTGCCCACTGTAATGACTTCTTTTAACTCAGATTTTTTTTTTTTTTTTTTTTTTTTTTTTTTTT